CCTCAAGTTTGGCAGCAGTCGGACCAGTCCGCCTCCCAGGTTGGGGACCACGAGATGCTGAATTGCAGTGGTTGGAAACACTGGACGTCATGGCCCGCAACAGACATCAGTGGCGGCAATGTTGTTCCGCAATTTCACCATCCCTTTGATACACATACAAACTCACAAAACAAAACAAAATGGCGTGTGTAAAACCACAAAAAAATCGTTTCCCACATTTTTTAAATCGTATTAGTGTTCCCATCTTCTTCACCTTTTTCTTCTGCCTTGGTTCTGATGGCACAATATCTGTTAACAGACTGTGAATAAATATAAATATATATATACTCCTGTCTAGGTCTGGGCAATCTGACAGCATGCTGCCGGGGCAATACAACTCTATGAACTTCACTTCACACGATTTCCTGATGCTCTGGCCGTCGTAGAGGATAATTAACGGCGCCCTATCTGCTGCATCGAGCAAGGTGGATAAAGGTTTGGATGCTACTGCTCAAGTCTTCCCGTCTTCTTAAACCACCTCGCGATTTTTCATGCTTAGTGTCCTGCTCCGACTTCACTTCTATCCTCCCAGTTTTCAACCCCCCAATTCTTGGCCCATCCCCATCTTGATTCAGGAATCGTTTATCTTCCAGTTTCGACTCACAGGCAAACGCAGGGCGTCGCTCCGGTTCAGTCAACAAGTTCACGTCCAGTCAAACGGAGGTCAGTTCAACCGCTTCTTTTTGGAGCCCTCGGTCCTCCCTAAGATTAGCATGCCTCAATGTGCGATTTCTGTTGCATATTGATCAACAGGCAGCACTTGCCCGAGCGTTCGAGACCCCCTCGATCGATATTTCTTGTTTATCGGAAATCCGCCTGCAAGATCAGAGCTCCGTGCTTACTCTGCGATCCTCCACATGCGACACTGGCGGCACTTTCTCATTGCGTCTGTCTGGCGATGACGCAACTTCAAATGCCGGTCAAGCTGGTGTCGGCACTGTTTTTAGTCCCCGGGCTGAAGAGGCCCTGATCGACTGGATTCCTGTCAACTGCCGGATGTGCGACGTTAGGTTGACGGACTCGTTCCAGTCTTCGAAGTCGCGGGGGGACAGACAGTGTCTGTTTGTCATTTCGGCTTACGCCCCCAAAAACTGCAGCTCTGAATCGGTGAAAGAGGATTTCTTACACGAAGTTAACGATCTACTTCGTTTCAGAAGAAACACGGATACCGAGATGTTTGCTAGTGACCCAAACGCCCAAGTCGGAAAATTGTCTTCTGATGAACTTCCTATGGGCGGCCAACACGGTGTAGGCTCTCGTGATGATAACGGTGAGCGGTTGCTGCACTCGTCTCGTCTCTTTCTTGCGAGCACTAATTTCGACACAGTACTCGCCCACCAGTCTCGGACCAGGCATGGAGGTAAATCGATCCCAGCGCGATTAGCTACCGCTGGAGAGGCTGTGTCCAAAACTGTCGCTCCATTTGGAGCACCAGTGTGGACTCCAATCACGCTCTCGTGTGTGCCAACCTTCGGGTGCGTTTCGGCGGACGTCCGCAACGTCGCACTGATCCCATTAACACCAGCCAAATGGCGAATCCGGATGTTCTGAATGTGTATTAAAGTACGCTGGCATCCGGACTGAGTAAGCGCTCACTAAACATCATCGAAGATCATTGGTTGCATATTCGCCAGACGTCACTATCAACAGGCATGTCTTCATCTGGCAAATTAAATCGCCAAACCATGCATTGGGTCTCTACAGTCTCTGGAACTTACGGATGCTCGCCGACGTATTCCGGCTGGAAGAGAACATAATGAGACTAGCAAAAATCTTAGGGCAAAACTGTGTGCTAGCGTAGAGACCGGGCAGTCTGGTGCTATCACCGTGCATCGGAAATGGAAACAGCCGCTATCCTTGGTAACCATAGTAAGTTATTCAGTTTGATACGAGAAACGAACATCAGGAGACCTGGCGTTAGCCAGACCATACGCGAGGAGAGTGGACAGCCGATACACAACTTGGAGCGTTGGGCCGAACATTTTGAGAGGCAATTCAATCAGTCAGAGTTGTTGGCTTCCCCACCGGCCATGAGCACCCTATTCCCTGAACCATCCCAGTGGATCTATCCTCACGCACAGAAATCGAACGTGAGGACAGACTTTTGAAATTGAATAAGGCCTCAAAGGCAGAGAGAATTCCTTTAGCCCTCTTCAAATTTGACAGACCTACTCTTTTAGATGATTCACACGAGCTACTAGTGAAACTTTAGGAGCAGGAAACTGTCCCAAGAGACTGGAGCCGCTCCGTTATAGCCCCAATTTTCAAGGGAGGCTCCCGTTCTGAATGCGGCAATCATAGTGAGATCAGTCTGATCTCAACTGACTCCGAATTGCTTGCGTTTGTCGTTCTCCACAGACTGACTGGCACTCGCAAAAGTCAGATTCGCGAGCAGCAAGCCAAGTTTCACATCTTATACTTTACGTCAATAGTTGGAGCACCGGCACATATATTGGCGACCCACCGTAATCGTGTTCCTAGACATCAAAGGTGCCTTCGATTTGCTTGGTTGATGTGCCCTTTGAGAACATCTGCTTAGGAAAGATGTGCCCGATATATATGTAAACATTATAGGAGCGCTGTTTGGGTATAGTTGGAACAGAGTGAGGGTTTATGGCAAAGTGTCGACGCCCTTCAATATCTCCAGCGGTGTGAGACAAGGTTGCCCGCTGTCACCCTTCCTCTTTAAATTCCTTTTGACGAAATCAGTTAACGTGTATTTATGATGATGTCTCGGCCTATATGTGCAGCTGCTGAACTGTAAAGAAATAAATACTTCCGTCTTTCACTGCTCCTTTTTAGAACGCTACAATTCTTTTAGTTTAAATTAGAGGCGTTTGAGTTTCAATTTTAATGTTTCTCTTATCACCACACATTTGCTCTTCATCCCTAGTCAAAGGAAAAGCATACTTGGTTCCGTTCGCACACGGAGCTCTCCGTCAGGATGCCACGAAATATTCTACACCGATTTGGAGTATTGAACAAGAAAACCATCAACGTTAAAAAATTGATTTTTATTCCTGCCTAACATTCGGACTACCCTGTGGATACTATACGAAACAACTGCATAATATTGACCACGATGAAAAGAGCATGTCTCGTCAACCTATGAATATATATTATTATTACTATTATTAGTATAAACGAAAAGCACAACTGCCGAGTAGTTTAGTATCACTCATCAATGCAAAAGTCAATACCAACAACAGACTAGAGGTCGACATCCGCGGATTACACTAGCCCTCCCAGTTGAAAACAAAAGGAAAAAATGTACAACAGGAATACGCCAGCTTCAGGATACGAATGAACTGCGTAAACGAAGGATAATAATTTCTTTGTACTAGACTTATTTGAAGATGGCCTGGACCTAGTTGATTGATTTGTCACATTCCCAACTTGGCGTCGTGGTCAATGCGAAATAGTGGAATAGCGTGCACCTTTTACTCCGGTGTTAACCAAATTTATGCTGTAACCGAAGTGACGGCGAATTATGAAAAATAGAACTTGTTGTTATCAAATCCACCAGTGGAGCAGTGAAGATGAACAGTGAGGCGTCAGTCGGTAGGGGATCAGAAAAACGCATGCTGCGGAAGGCTCCGAAAATATGTAGTGACGAAGATGAGGGTTAGTTATATTACTGAACGAGAAAGAACACCAATCACGAAAAACCTGCAGATTTACGACATCCGTGGGAAATCGATGCAGCCATAATTCATTGGTAAGCTTGTCACCCGGTGCAGCTAAATTGGTGAAGCTATGTATTTTTAGAAAGCATTGGGATGGCTTCAAACTGTTGAACTCGTAGTCAAGCGGTTTGAAAATGTGTTGACGGTTTGGCATGCTGAATCATTACAGAACGGTTGCTCTGATAAATTCGTATGATTTCTGTTTGTTAAAAATTTCCAATATATGGTCCAAATGGTTAATGATATATGGTAGAATAGCAGAAAGTATGAAATGGAACTTTGATAGTTTCGATTGGACGCCGAGAATGTATTAAGTGGAATCTATCTGCACAAACCATGCTCTCGGGCTGCCTTTCCGGGAAGGAGCGATTGGAATTATTGAGGAATCAACTACAATAGTTAGGACGATCGACCTGACTCTATCGCCTCGGGGGCAAAAAGAGTGGCGAGATGCAGGGACAAAAAAAAACAAACTTTAACATGTTCAAAGTTGAAAAATAGGATGGAGTTACCGGCAAGAAAATATAACTGAGTCACCAATTTGTGATGACGAAGATAAGGGCTACTCACAGCGGAACGTCAATGTAACCAATCACCATAACTCTGCAGGCAAATAAGAACAACCAAGGGTTAGCGCTAAGACAGTTTATTTAGATAGCCTAAGTAAGGAGTATATAGGCTACGTCCATGACGATACCGGTACGCTAGGCAAGCTATGGGATCCCGTTCGAATAGGCAGTGATGCAGGGAAAAGCGAGCATGATTCAAAGCCGAAGACAGCGCGAATGTGTGCGGGGCAGTATAAACAACAATATGCATGCGAACATGGGGAGACATCTTAGATTTCATAGGCACATGGTAAAAGTAAATATTTTGGAAGAAACTTATGGTCATACTTTAAACGAATTGGGGAGAATCGTCGGGACGTCACAAATATATAATCGACGCATAGTTCATGATTGTCTTGATGATGATGAAAATCCATCAAAACAAATCCTGTGGCATTGTATTTGTATGTACTATGAACAATTATTTTCATCCACTACACCTTCGTATGCACAACTTTGTAAGAAGCAGGGTGCCTTTGAATAAGAACACTTGAGAGTGCTGATCATGTGGTGAAGTGTTTCTTATACCGTGTGAATCGCTAAAGCCGGGGGTGCTGTCTGTTCGCCGATTGAGATTTTTGCATAATTTATCAGCTACTACTATGTAAAAGCCTAGATACATCTAAACCGTAGGGCCGGTGAATTCTAACAGAGTGCGAGTAAGAAGTGCCGCATTGCAACGATCGGAGGAAGAAGCACAGAACCGGCTACTCAGAATACCTATGAAGTAGCCACCGACATTTTTCGAACACGCAGTGTACTGCCCTCAGAGACAAAGGCAGTGTGAATATACATATAGAGGAGGCTGAGACGGGACAACAAATTAGGTAAAGGGACGATGCGCATGGAGAGGGAAAACGTAGGAACATTCTTCAGTGGAGATAGGTAACAGATTGAGAAGCGGCAGAAACCGTGACAGATGAAACTATGCAGTAACGGATCACAAGCAGATCTAAAGTGAAGGGATAGAGGCCTAAATTGTAGAACACGGAAGAAGATAAGTTGAGATCGCTTTAAAACGACTGAATGCGACATCTAGCTTGTGAATATCGGAAACCTTAAGTCCAGTCCAAAGAAGTAACTTGAAGAAAAGACATAACGAATGCGGCAGTAGTCTCAGTACGAAAGACCCGTGGGAGTGTGGGAGTCAGATTGTTGTGGGTGACATCCTTCATCTTCGTCGTTGGTTGAACTGGATGTGTCCGGAGAACAATGACCACAAATACAAGCACTTTGTGAACAAGCACTGTCTTCGCTGAGGTATGGATCTGTGTCGTGTTGGTAGCAAGCTGAAGAGCAGCTGGAGTTGGAGGACGGGCTTGACCGTGCTGTGCATTGCCTCTTAACAGTCGCGCAGTCTGTATCTTCAGAAACAGACTGGGCGCTGGAACAGCCAGGATCAAATAGCTTTGTGAAAAAGCCACATTCAGATTGTGTTGTACTGGAGACTGCGACATCGACGGAGTCCACCCAAGATCGTGTTGTACGAGATGGGCGGGTAGCTATCCTTTTCCTCCGCCTAAGTGGTTTTGGAGGTGGATCGTCCGACTGTGATAGATAGTCTCGCAAGTACTCGAATGGAATATCCTGAAACAGAACAAAAACGAAAATGACAGCAATCAATGGTTCACAGTCATGGGGAGTTCATGATTAGTATTCACAACTAGCATCAGGAAGAAGTGATCGATGAACAAGGGGCAAGTCAATTCATTGGTGTGTAACGCGGCCAGTGGTTGCAGTGTATTAACGTAGCCGTATTTGCTAACGTAAGAAGAACAAAGTGAGCCTGAGGTGTTCAAAAAGAAATGAATTGTATGGTTGCGTCATTCAGCTGGCTGTACGCTAAGGCTTGATGCCCGATCCAACGGCACCATCCGAACAGGTTGCGCAAGTGACCAGGCGAGTCACGTTAACTCGGTTTGATGAAAAGCAGATGTGTGTTCCACAGTGCGCGCAATTTGCCCTGTCCAAAGGGGGAAGATGGGAGGCCTGAGAACGACTAGCAATCGGCCACCAACTGTGGAAAAGTGCCAAGTAGAACTCCATCAAGGCACATATTCGCCATGAAATGCGGTAAAATGATACAACGGTCTGATGGGATCGGATACCTTTGTAGTTTAGGTCGAGATCTCTGGTACCTAAAATGGCTAATATATTTCCCAGGAGTGCAACAACGTCCCAGGCAGATCAATTAATTACGGTGCTATTCGTATGATCAAGTCGGCTGGAAAACCGAAAGTGCGCCGTTAAAGATGTTAAATAGTGGATATCAGTGCCGGTGAAATTGGCATTTTTGCTTCTTGTGAATTTTCGGTCACCTTGTTTTCCAGCATCCTATACTGGCCTGAATAGTAGCTGGAACCTACAGTGGGTCTCCATGTGTGCACGTCAATAACACCTCTTGCAGACGTGTTTGCTGAATGTGTACCATCTCACAAAATACCAGCCTTCGCACTGCCAGCAAGCTCATGGGGATTAGGCTTGTGGACATTTGCTGTGCTGAATTACTGGGCCGTTGCTTCTAGAAACTTACTGGACAGAGAAAGCACTAGGATGCACCTTTGAATCATCTACCATAGCGGGGTCATGCTTTAAATTCATGATCCTCTTGGCTTCAGCAAGGACATTCTGCAATGTGACATCGAGAAAGTTACAACATCCCGAGTATTCTGGTCAGAACAGCGATATCATTAAAAGACTGCATACCAATATCAAGCACTCAAACTGATGGTCGGTAAATGACTATCAGTTTGAAGTTCTGGCATTCATGCTTCACTGTCGCTGCAAGGTTAATAAGACTGTCAGTGTCCTTTTGCACAGCTTCAAATAGGAACGATTATTGAAAAGCGATACCTCATGCAGGCTTTTTCTATGGCCTGCTTGGCTCCCACACACTGAGTGGAAAAATGGAATCATCACTCCGATAAACATAGATTAGGTGATTGGATTCTGCCAACTACCGACCTATTACTGTTAGGGGACGCAGACCATAACGAAATAGGTCGGATAGTACGTCCAGCATTCCGGCTCAACGATGGTTCGCTTGCCTCATGGTCGTGATTGGTCCAACTAATGACAGCTTGCCACAGTTTCAGTTTCAAGGTCATTGTGTAGGAGGACTTTATAAACCAATGAAGTCGTATCTCATGTACCTTGTTTTGTCTTCTCGCAGGAGTGTGTTCATTGTTGACGGCTTCCGATTTCTGTTTTGTGCAAAGCGGTTGGGCTTTGAAGGTCCGCACATTTGCGATACACAATTTTCTGATGATAAATAAAATTGTGACGAATTGCCAAAGATGCCACTTTCAAAGGAAGAGCTCACCTTGATATTGCAACAGCAACAAGCTATTTGAGGAATCACAGGCGCAGCCTATCGAAACACTGTCGCAAAAAGTTAATGTTCAATAGTCCTCGAATGACAGAAAGCAAATCGCCCGTTGATGCAACTTCGGGAAAAATGAGAGAATTCAGCTATGATCTAGATGCCGGATGCACTTTGAATCTTGGTACAGGAGATACAAAGACATCTTCCGGACAGAATGGGTCGATACGGATGACGAATGGAAAGCACGGTTGCTTCTACAAAAGCTTAGGACCGAGGAACACGAGAGGTTTGTGAATTTTATCATTCTTAAAAGTGTGAAGGATTTTACCTTGGAGGAAATCGTTGAACTATTGAAAGACATCTTTGGGGAAGTATTCTCTACTTTTAAAGTGCGGGATTCCTTTTTGAAACTTGTCAAAAGTGACTGTGATGCTTTTGTATCTTATGCGACCGCGGTTAACTGCCAGTGCGAGCGTTTCAAGCGTAAGGAAATGATGGAAAACCAATTCAAATATCTGGTATTTGTTCGTAGTCTTCAATCGTCTCGAGACTCAGCTATTCGCACCCGCTTGCTCAGTAAGATAGAGCAGAATCCTAGCATGAATCTGAGATCAGCCGTTTCAGAGTGTCACTGTTTGTTGTACCAGAATCATGATACTGCTATGATTGGACGGGAAGCAGACCCTGGTTCCCGTAACGTACATGGTGTGACAAAAAGCACTTCAGCAAAGCCCACTAATTCCTCTAGAAACGGGACCTTCAACAGTCTGCTGACAGTTTGGTGGTTGGCACTATGTCTGACTTTGCTCACTCAAAAAGCATTGCTGTCAGAAATGCCACAAAAGAAGACACTAAGATTGCCGCGCAAACAATGGAACACTTCCGAAGAGCAGTCAAGTCCGTTCAGAAAAGCCGGATAAAAATCCAGGTAAAAAATTAATCCTAAAAAATGTAAGCAATAATGTGTCAGCTGTACGTCGTAACGGCGGTTCGCTGTCGCGCGACCACCAAAATCGCGAGAAGGCTGAGTATACCGCGAGGACGCCAACCCCTACGCGGATTCGAAAGGGTGACTTTATAATTGCAAGTCAGGCCCGCAGACCACTCGGTCACCGGCCAACCAAATAAATGAATAAATCCTGTTATGGCTACGTCCGACACGGACGCAAAACACCGGCGTGTATATGTGTCTGTGCATACCAACAACACCCCTGTGCGTCTCCAGCTCGATAAAGCATCTGGCATTATTTTATTGTCACAAAGCACATGGAAGATGATTGGTCAACCTCCTTTAAAACCGACAAATCGCGCAGCACTGAATGCTTCCGGCGGAGTCCTGAAACTCACAGGTGAACTTATGTGTTCTATCTTTTTCAATAAGGTGTAATTCCGTGTCGTGTGTTACCGTTTTAATTGGCCAAAGCTAAACATTTTGGGCCTTGGGTGGATCGCAAAACTCAGGCTCTTAGAGGTCCCGCTTAATTCTGTGTGCAATCAGTTGTGTGTTCAGTCTGTGACCATTCCTCGCAGTGTCAGTGTTCGCGTCATAAATTCGCGCAAGTATTCCGGGACGAGTTTGGTTGCAGAACGAAAACCAAGGCAGTATTGTCCCCCCGCCCCGATGCAAAAGTTGTCTTTCGACCCAAACGTCCAGTATCATATGCGACGTTACCAAGCTTTGGTCAGGAATTGGAGAGACTGCAACAGGCTGGCATTCTTCAACCTGTGATTTACTCGTCATGGGGTGCTCCAATTATGGTGGTCAAGAAACCAAATAGAAAAGTCCGAATTTGTGCAGACTTCTCCACTGGTCTAAATGCTGCTCTGGAAAGTCAACGAAATATCCGTTGCCTCGGCCGGATGATTTGCTCGCAAGGCTAAATGGTGGCAAATGCTTCGCCAAACTGGACTTGTCAAAGCATACCTTCAAGTGAAAGTTTTTGAAGATTCGCAAGAGCTGCTGACCATCAATACTCACCGCTGTCTGTTTCAATACACCCGCCTACCAGTTGGAGTAAAAACGGTATTTGCCATTTTACAATAGATCATCGACGACGTATTACAGGATGTTCCATCGGTTGCAGCATACCTAGACGATATCGTCATAATGGGCACTCATCCGAAGGGTCTAGAGAACCGGATTGAAAAGGTGCTCCATGGAATCCAAGGTTGTGGCTATCGCCTGAGAGAAGATAAGTGTGCCTTCGACATAGATACGGTAAAATACCTGGGATTCATCATTGATCAAGATGGTCGAAGAGCAGATCATGGTAATATTGAGGCTATCCAGAAAATGCCTCCACCACATGATGCGACGAGGCTACGATCATTTTTGGGATTGTTGAGTCACTACAGTGCATTTTGCAAGTAATGCATGATATACAGGGCCCACTGAACACGTTAGTTCCCAAGGGCTCCAATAGATGTTGGAGTACGGAATGCAGTCAAGTTTTTGACAGGATGAAAGCTATGTTATCATCAGACCTGCTGTTGACCCAGTACGATCCGAAGTTGGATAACATTGTTGCTACAGATGCGGCTGATTACGGAGTCGGCGCGGATGTATCTAAACGCTTTTCCGAAGGAAATGACAAGGCGATTGCTCATGATACAGGATCGTTGACGTCCGCAAAACGCAACTACAGCTAAATTGTAAAATAAGCCTAGGCGATCAACTAAGTCAATAGGAAATATCACAAAATGCTTTATGGCCGTCATTTTACTCTGGTCACGAATCACAAGTCCCTAGTAGCACTCTCCGGTTCCAAGAAAGGTTTCCCATGTCCTCAGAAAATCGCCTTCAGAGGTGCGCCATAATGCCTTCAAGATATGATTTCGAAATCAAGTACCAACAGACTAGGAACACTGGTCAGGCTGATGCTCGATCACGCAAGAGAGACAAAGACCTACAGGAGCCAGAGCATCTCGACCGAGAATGAAGTTCACTGCGTGGTGGCAATCAATTAATCATCACTGAACAACAGCAGTACATCAACCATTTGAACTGGTGCTTCGCTGCCGTACAACCATGATAATCTATGAAATAAAGAATCATAAAAGAGAGAGAAGGGGGACTTACCCATAAACCTTAATGCCCTAACCAAACATTCAGGGTCAAGGCGCCTACACTTTGTGTAGACAATATACCGTCACAACCAGATGGCTATCGTGCAAAGATAACGCGGCAGCGGCGAGACAGCTTCCTTGCGGCTTTCACTGCCCCGCGTCATAACCAGCCATTACCCCGCAGATAACTCAGCAC